TGGGGGCGGGGAAGGGGGGTGTACTTAACCTGGTCTGCACCCTCTCCCAGTCCAGGACCCCTCGGGGGATGTCTGCCTGATGGCTTGTGGCTGTATGGCCTTCCGCTGATGCACGGCCTGCTGCTTGAGCTTCAGCAGCTGCTGCATGTGCACGGGCTGGGCCACCATGGTCTGTCCTGTGAACACCATCGAGTGGGTGAGTCAAGCATGGAGGCAGGCTCACCCTGAGTTCCCTGAACTTCCCTGAGTTACTGAATTGTTCAGACTGTCTTCTATAGAGAATGGCACTGGGATCGGGCCTAAGCCACAGTCAGACATCCTTCCCACAGTCTGGGACCGCTCGGGGGATGTAGCAGTGCACCAAGCAACAGCCATCCAGAGAGGAGCCCAAATCAGGCCAGGCACCGTGCAGGTCGTGCTCATCCCAGCCCGCTGAGCCTGCTGCTGCCCTTTGGTAGTGCTGCTGCAGAGTTGGGAGAGGCTCCCGCTGTGGCAGCTGTGCTTGGTAGCCGTGAGCCCAGCTTCTGGCTGAGCGGTGCTCCTCCTGTGGGAGCACACTGACCACCAGGGGGTAGATCCTGCATTGAACATCTGTCCCCTGGTGGTCAGTGCGCATCATAGTGACCAGTCATTTCACTGTAATGGTCATTTAGGCTTTTATATATACACTAGAGGCCCAACGCATGAAATTCATGCAAGAGTAGGCCTTCTTTCCCCCGGCTGCCAGTACCAGCTTCCCTCTGGCACCCGGGACCTGGGCTTCCCTTGCAGCCCCAGCTTCATCCAGAAGGACATCTGGAAGGAGTTTCCGAAGGAAGTCTGGTCTAATTAGCATATTATGCTTTTATTATTATAGATAGATATGCAATATATTGTTTGACTCTATCTAAAATGTAAAGAATTTTTATATCTATGTTCATGAAGGAAATTAACATAAAATAAATTTCAACTTTTAGAGTCTAATCTTTACTTTCTTTCTAAAACACTATTATGGGTCAAATTGTTTTCTCTAAACGATATGTTTGTGGGGTTTTTTGTAGTATCTTTGTTTGCTATTTCTATCAGTGTAAGAATGTTGGCCTTATAGAATGAGTTGGGATGTATTCCTTCTTCTTCAATTTTCTCTCTATGAGTTTATGAGAGCTGTTGTTTCTGCATATGGTGGTAATCCTGAAGTCACTGTAGGTAGCAGGGCTAGCAGTCAGAAAAACTGAACATGACATGAAAGAGAGCAAGGACAAACAGAAACCTCCAATAATAACAACCTGTGGGCCCAGCTGCTGCCCTGTGCTAATAAGATAAGCAAACATGTCATCAGCAATGTGCACATTCTGCAGTATTGCCTAGCACCTAACACTAACCTTCAGATGACTACCACTCACTTTCACCTTTTAAAATATCTTGTTGCCAACCAGATACTAGAACCACACAAGGAAGCGAATTCTGGGAAACATAGTTCCAGGTTAGCTAAGTTGACACAGTACAAAGTTAATACATGTAGCCTAATTTAATACAGATCTCAAAGGAAATAACAATATGACCAGAATAAGACTTATAACAGAATTGTAGTAAAGTAGATCAAAACAAGATAAAAATGAAGATCATTTTCTTAGCCACACCTGGCTATGAATATTCATCAATTCTTCAGACAGAAAAGAAGAAATGTAGGAAATTAATTATAGTGCTCTACACAATTTAAAGTGTGTAGTTAAGAACACAGGTTTTATAAAGTCAGAAATCACACTTATAAGCTGTGTGTTCTTATGCAAGTTTTTTTTTTCCTCTGTGACTCATTACTATACCCCAAAATGGGGATACTAAATCTTTTTTATAGGCTTATTGTGAAGATTAAATGTGTTAATAAAGAGAAAGCATTTCAAACAGTGCATGACACATACATTATTATTAAATACTAATGTTATAATTATTATATATAATCATGCTTTAACCATATAATAAAATATGTACATTTATGATTCTCAGTAAATGTCTAGGTTGTCTTCATAAAGTCCTGAGTGAAATGCTTCCTCCATGTGCTATGTGTCTCTGCCAGTTGGTTGTAGGCAAGATTCTAGTGTGCAGAATGTGGAAATCCAAGTCTACAGTCTTTTGTTGACTGCTTCCCATTTAAGAAAGTGTCTGAATCAATATACACCTCAATATCATGAATTATTGCCACTTCTGTATATTTATGTATCTCATCAACGTAGGACATCTGACCTAGGAAAATGATATATTCATATCCATGAATAATTACAGAGAAAGCAAAAACTGTCTTTTAAAAAAAACTTTTTTAAATTCAACCCTGTGTGTTCAGTGAAGACTTCGCAGGTATATAAAGCCAAGGTGTTCAAGTAATTGCCACAGTGGTTTATCAGACTTAATTCTGGATCTGGGATAATTTTCACTATAATGTGTGCACATGTGTATATGTGTGTGCAAATGTACATATGTATGTGTGTGTGTGTGTTCTAGAGGCTGTTACCAAGTTAGAGTTTGTATTTAGTAGATTTTCACAGCTAATTTGGCTGATTGTATTTTATTACTTAAAAACATACAATACCTTTTTGGTGGTAGGCCTGGGGAGCCATGATTGTGTAAGATAAAACTGGTTAAGGAAGTTTATAATAGAACCATCTCCTTTTTGTAACCTAGATATGGCTGAGCCTTTCTAATTTATGTTATCCAAATAAAGAGGTCTTTAATAACATAAAAATCATGGAGTTACATCCTATAAAATATATTTTACAGTATATAAAATATTGCCCAGCCGAAACCGGTTTGGCTCAGTGGATAGAGTGTCAGTCTGCGGACTGAAAGGTCCCAGGTTTGATTCCGGTCAAGGTCATGTACCTGGGTTGTGGGCACATCCCCAGTAGGAGATGTGCAGGAGGCGGCTGATTGATGTTTCTCTTTCATCAATGTTTCTAACTCTCTATTCCTCTCCCTTCCTCACTGTAAAAAATCAATAAAATATATTTTAAAAAAATATTACCTGTAGCCATAACATGTGTACCATATGTATTAGTACATATGATAAATTGGATGAGGTCTGTAGAATGGGCATTGCAAGGCACTCAGAGAACACACACATTGAATATCACTTATCCCATTCTTCACTCTCAACTTAAGTGCTAGAAAATGATTCTCCCTATAACAGTGCTTCAGTTTGAGAGCTACAGATCACACAAAATAATCTCAACTTTTAGAGTCTCGCCTCTTACATTCTTACTAAAACAGTATTATGAGTCGAATTGTGTTTTCTCTAAAACATGTTAAAAGTCCTAACCCCGCCCTGACTGGTTTGGCTCAGTGGATAGAGCATCGGCCTGCAGTCTCAAGGGTCCCAGGTTCGATCCCAGTCGGGGGCATGTACCTTGGTTGCGGGCACATACCCAGTGGGGAGTGTGCAAGAAGCAGCTGATCCATGTGTCTCTCTCATTGATGTTTCTGGCTCTCTATCCCTCTCCCTTCCTCTCTGTAAAAAACGAATAAAATATATATTTTTTTAAAAAAGGCCTAACCCCCAGTACTTTAGGCTGTTGAGCATCGTTATCATCATTACTCTGAACTCTGTTTCAGATAAATTTCTTATTTATGCTTCATTTATTTCTTCTTCTGGAGAATTCTCTAGTTCTTTCATTTGGGGGTTGTTTCTTTGTCTCCTCAGTTTGGCTGCCTGTTTGGGTTTGTGACTATGTATTAGGCAGATCCTCTATGCCTCTCAATCTAGTGCAAGACAGTGTTAAGCGCTGTTTCTGACTAATTAGATCAGGCAAAGACTCAAAGCCTCCAGAAACCACCTCTGTGTGGTGTGGGTCAAGACCCCTTTGGTGGTCGAACGACCCTTTCACAGGGGTCGCCTAAGACCATCCTGCATATCAGATATTTACATTACAATTCATAACAGTAGCAACATTACAGTTATGAAGCAGCAACGAAAATAATTTTATGGTTGGGTCACAACATGAGGAACTGTATTTAAAGGGCCAGAAGGTTGAGAACCACTGGTCTACAGACTGATGGGAGTCTGACTTGAATTGCCCCCAGGCAATCGTCCACAGGCGTAGTGAGAGCTTCTTTCAACAGGATGTAGCAGTTGCTTCTGCCTGGAGGCTAATTGTTACTTTTAGTTTTTTAAGTGGCCTCAGGGCAAGGTGTTTTCCAATAGGGTGTGTCAACTGTTTTCCCTCCAGGCAAGGTTGCCTGTATAGCAAATGTCTGTGTGGGAAAGATGTCCTCTGCTGCATGAGGGAATGACTCAGCTCAGGAAATGGGGGTGTCTGCCTTCTGAGCTCTAACCCACAAGTCCCTAGTCCTGGCTTCTGCTCAAACAGCTCCAATCCACTCTGCTCTCCCTTTGTCAGAGCAGAAGGTGGGTGGCTGCACAGGGAATTTTATGCATTGGCCCTTAAAGAAGGTACCTTAATTTCCAGCTGTCTCCCTGGCAGACAGCACCCTTGCTGCTTTTCACAGCCAGATGTTATGTGGGTACCTTTCTCAGTTTTGGTGCTCTCTGCTGGGGGGCCCAGCTTGGAGATTAGACCCGAGTTCTCAGTTGCAACCCTCCATAGCTGAGATATCTCTCTGGGATTTCAGTTGCTGTTTGTAGGCGACCAGCCAGACCTTTCATGCCTCCACCCCTCTTACCAGTCTCTATGCGATCTCCACTTTTAGTCCTTGGTGATCAGGACTCTCTCCTTTGAGCTTTTCATTGATTATTCAGGAAGTTTTTATGAACTTTAGTTGTAATTCCAGTTTGTTCCTGGGAGCATGTCCATGCATCATCCACTTACTTTGCTGCCATTTTTAATCTCCCCCAGTACTTCAGAATGTCATATTGTTTGCAAATAGGGTCATTAAGGAGGCAGTTAAATTGAGATAAGGGTGGGTTCTAATCCAATATGATTGGTGTCCTTATATAAAAAAGAAAATTTAGAAATGGAGACAGACATGCACAGAAGGAAGACAATGTGAAGAAACATAAGGAGAATGCCATATGAGGACACAGGTTAGAATGCTATCATGTATCTATAAGCCAGGGAATGCGTGTGGCTACCAGAAGTTAGGAGAGAGGCATGGAACATTCTAGTGCCTTCAGAGAGAGTAAGGCCCTGCCAATACATTTATTTTGGAGTGCTGGCCTCCAGAACTGTGAGGCAATAATTTTTATTGTTTTTAAGTCTCTCAGTGTATGGTCCTCTGTTACAGAATCCCTAGGAAATTAATATAAGAACCTCTTCAGAATTGTAGTTTCTTCTTCATACAAAAGAAGGTCTTAATGAGTGCCAATATTTCCTTTATTTTTAATGTTTTGATATGGGATTGAATGCTCTTTCATAAGACTAAAATACTATTACTACTGGCATTCTATAAATTAATATCTATTTAACATTTGATCCATCATAATCTGAACAATATCAACCACCCTCTAATGTTCAAGAGATTCTGTTTTCAGTGCCCAAAAAGGTCAGTAAAAAACATCCAAAGAAATAGTACTATAGAAAGAGAAATTAATGGAAAAGAATATGAAGGGGAATAGTTTAGGGATTAATCATTTTACTTTTTATTAAAACTATAAGGTTATTAATAATGTAGCTCCTTTTATTTTTGAAACTAGTATAAATTGATCATTTAATTCTATCAATGATTGAAAGGGCGAAGGCTACGCCCTCCATCTTGACCCAGGGCGAGGGCTACGCCCTCCATCTTACCCCGGATCCTCCACTTTGGGGCAGCAGCCTTAGCCATGTGCTCGGCAAGGAGCTTCTTCCCGGAAGCCCAAGCCTCTGCTAGCCACACCTAGGATTTCTTTAAACTAACCAATGATAATTAAGGGAACTGTGTGCCATAGATACAACCACATCCTGTGTAACAAGACACCGACTTGCGCCTGGCCAATCGGCAGGGCCCACAGTCCTCTCTCCTCTCCTTACTCCAACCCACCTGTAAAACCCCTCTTCCCACAGAGCTCACTCTCTGCTGCTTGCTGCTGTGTCGGTGAGTGTGGTCGGGGAGCCGAGCTAGCTCGAATAAAGACTCTTTGCTTTTGCATCGGACTCGGCTGACTCCCTGGTGGTCTTTTGGGGATCCTGAAATCTGGGCATAACATTTGGGGGCTCATCCCGGATCCCCAAGACCCTCGAGGGACCCCCGATCTGGAGAGGCTGACTGGCCGCGGTAGGTGTCTGTGTGTTGCTTATTCTGTTCTGTGTGCTATATGTTCTGTCCTGTGTTAGCTCACTTCTGAAATTCTGTAGTTCCCAAAGTGGTCTAGGTTGATGCACTGCTGAAGGACCACAGGCTGGGAGAGCCAGAAGACATTCTGCTCTTCAGGAGGGATGCGCATTCCCCTCACGAGAGATGTGGATTGCCCTCGAGGATCTGAGACGAGGTGGGTCACTCCCGCTGTCCTTTAAACATTATGGTCCTTTTAAAGTCAAGGGCTGGGACAAACCTGCTTGCCAGCCTCAGGTGTGGTTTTCCAGAACCCCTGCAGTGAGCCTTGAAGCCTAGGGAGCGGGCCCGGGTGGAGCTGCCACAAGTGCAGATCTTGGTGGTAGTAACAAATAATTTAAAGTCCATCTTGTAATTGAAAAGTTTTACAAAATTTAAAAATGCATCCGGAATTTCTGTGCACTTGTAAAGAGAAAAGTGGCTTGAAACTAATGCGTGCATCGTCCGATTTCAGATATTAGAGTTTTGAGCTGGAATCTCTTTACAAATGTACAAAAAAAAAAACCCCAAGACTTATTATTTCCTAGGAAAGATGGCAAAATTTACCCAAAGGAAAAAACATGCTGACTAGATTTTTGCAGCAGGATTGGCATTTCCATAATAAAGAACAGTTTTTAAATGCTAATGAAGGTTGTTAAAAGGTTGACTTCAAGGCAGAAAAGGAAATTCAGTAAAATTGTCTCTGTTATGGGAATTTGCTGAAGAATATGCCTTAAAATAATAATTTGGATTTGAATCTCAAGAAAAATCTAAATAGCCCAGGTAAAAGATGGCTACACCGTTTAATTAAGGCTGGCTTCTCTGGGATATTT